ACTGTTTTCATTATCCTTGAAGAAAGAAAAATGACTACAAAGAGTAGAAGGTGTTAACACGTTCGATATGTTCATAGTGAGGATGGTAGGAATACTTACTGTTAAGTAGACAGCATGAAATCCACATATCTGAAGCTTCAGGATATGAAGCTTTCTTTCAAGTTGCGATCCGCTTCCCAGCGGGGATGTTAATGCATGCGGCCCTTAGATGCAATCCTTCCCTCTCTCTCTCGTCCCTTCCTCATCTTCCTCTCCCCTCCCTCTCACTATATCCATACTTTAGAGGTAGCTTTAGGTGAGGCCCGCCGAATTCCATGCCTGAACTTAGTCTTAGAGTTGTGGTCGTCGCTTCAGTCAGTCTTTCTGAGCTTTTCATGAGGAGATCAAATGTCTAGCAAGGTATAATCCCACAGCTCTTAACAGCTCCTCACTTCCAATAAGGAAGATCAAAGAGTTTACAAGGGAAAATCTGAGCTTTTAAAGTTCACTTACGATGATCAATTCAAAAACAGTGTCTGGAGGAAGATGGCAGTGGGATTTTAACACAGTGTGAAAGCGGACATTACCAAAAACGCGAAAACTGCTCGGAAAATTATGCCCTAAGGGAAGAGCCTCGCTCACCTGTAATTCAGTATTATACAGCAAAGGCGCAAGTCGCTCCAGTCAACACTTTCGAACCCCGTGATACACACGGTAAATCACTGGCTTCATAACATCTTCTTGCAATCTTATATATAAAGCTGAATGTCTGTTTGTATGTATGTCTGTCTGTATGTCTGTCTGTACGTATGTTCCGAATAGAAAATTCCATTTCTGAACCGATCCGGACCAAACTTGGCACACATACACTACGGGTCCGGGCGGGTGTCATAGGCTACTTTTCGTCATCGATCGATATCGATTTTATCGATTTTTATCGATTTTTTTTGCAGAGTTCACCTACGGGGCTGGGAGTTGGCACAGGGGGGTAATCGAGCATGGGGATTCCGAATACAATCGGAATCCCCATGCTCACTTCCCCCCTGTGCCATCTCCTAGCCCTGTAGGGAACTCTGCAAAAAAATCGATAAAAATCGGTAAAATCGACATCGATCGATGACGAAAAGTAGCCTATGACACCCGCCCGGACCCGTAGTGTATGTGTGCCAAGTTTGGTCCGGATACGGCGGAGCCGGGTAAGCCAGCTAGTCCACTATAAGAGTTTTATCAAAATCTAGGAAATCAATTCTGAGACTCAAGACTAAGCTTCCGATATACTCCTTAAGCTTGTACCAGCTACAATGATTTAAGCAAAGAACTGACAGATCCAACGACAGTTACAAATTGGAGCAACGGTTGAACGTGGCGTACAGCGTCGTAGGTTTTTTGTGGAAGATGATTGGTTATTCCGATACAGTGTTATCGCTTGCAAATGGGTGAATTTAGTCATCTGAGATTGATTTTTCGGTTCTTTCTTTAATTTTTTTTGTCATGCTCACGATATCTTTGCTTCCGATGCATAAAATGTCGAAATATGAATTTGGCTGAGACCTTTTTGAGAGAACCATTTGACGACTCTTGACTAAGGATATTGTACTTGCTCTGAAGAACAACTTCACGACTAAAGTTCAATAGGTCATAGCAGGCGACGTCGAGTTCCAAGTGAGTAGCGAAAGTACCCAGCGATTCTTTGTTTTGCAAAGGAAGGATACCAACTCAACATGGAGACAAGATGTATCATTGCTAAACGCGTCTTGAAACACTGAATCCCAAAAAAGCAGATTTGGAATCAGCATTTGGAAGCGCGCCTAGTGTATACATCTCGTTTTCAATCGTTAACTCAAGTTGGCATCTTTCCCCACTTATCCTTTCCAGAATTTGATTCATATGTAAATTCAGAAAAAAACAGAGTTCCTATAAAAGCTGCACTTTTGGCGTGTTTCCCATGGTGAATTCTTAAAAGCAGCGGAAAAGCTCAGGTAAGGTAAAGCCATAAATTTTTGAACTCCTTTGCTCCCATAACTTCTCTGCATCTCAGCTTTGGCGGGAGAGAATGTTAGTATAAAACTCATGACATGACGTTTTAGATAACTATTCTCGTCTCGCACAGCGTAGCTGATAAGCCTTTAGAAGCTAAAAGTGTTTTTGCCCCGGATGTTTGGGGTATGTCGGGCTTTAGCTCTATGTGAAATTGGACGCCTCCGGATACTTCCTCACATAAGTCCGAAGCCATAACATTAGATCAGAACAGAAATCCGCTTCGGAAGTGGGGGTTTCTCTGGATGAAAGCCTCGCCTACCTGCTGACTTCAAACTGCAAGCTAGGATACACATGCAGCTACGTTGAGATGATGAACACAGCCTTTGCATCTCAGAGTTGGTAGGAACGCTCCACTCGTCCATAATCAAATCGAAGGGTCTGAAAAAGTTCTGTCTTGCCATTTTCGCGGTTTCTAGTATAGTTTGCGAATTCAGCAGAGCGCAAAAGCCAAATAAAAAGCCAAAAAATTGAGTTTTCGGCCGTACACTGCCCTCAAAAACAAGGCAGGTGCATCACTATCGGGCTTTAACACGTTTAGGACCGCGAAATCGCGCGCGGCGAAAAAGAGTACACTTTCAACCGTTAACCGACAAATAGGTCTTATTTCTGTGGGCTACATCTGTGATCAGCATGTCAGATAAGCTCCATACTCAACGTTCTGTGTGAATTCGAAGCGTTTGAATTTTGTCGTTTGAAAGAAAGGGACTTTTGTGCTTTCTTGAAAGATAGGAACAAGAACTCAGTTTCAAATAGTACTTAAAAGTATCTTTGTACAGGGTACACATCTTTATTGAAACCACAGTTTTTTACTTTGAAATCGAAGCAAAGAAAAGTCGCGACGTCGCACGCGTCGTTCGCGTTGCCGCACTTCCTTGCAACTGTTGTTCGATTTGTCCTCATATTTTTTAAACGGATACCGGTGGCACAGCTCCATAGAGTCATTTAAAAAATAGGAGCTTAGACCTTTGACTTAATAACTTTGGACTCAAAGAAAACTCCTGTAAACGTCAGAAAGATCCTGCAAAGCAGCGTGCTGCACCATGTGCAGCACCGGTCCGAAACGTGTTAAAAATACCCCTTGGTAGAGTACTGAACTCAGAGATTTCGTACCAGTCAAACAGTGGCTACTCATAGACCAGAAATCCTACAAGTGTAAAAGGTGGGCCCTGGTTGCTCTGAACTTGCGCACATTTCAGTGGCGTAGCGAAGCACCGCTACCAAAGTATTATATTTACCTCGTCTCACATAGACATAATTTCAACTTGTTATAATGACTTTTTCGACTACTAATTTCTAATTCAAGCAAAGTTTCGTCCTTGTGATCTGTGTCGAAAGCCAGCCTTTTTGGGTATTTCACTTTACTCCTTGAGTGGATCATGAGTTCGGCTTTCCGCATCTTCATACGATAAACGGAATCATTTCTGTAAGTGTCTCAGAGCCGACGGCACTTCAGATGGGGATAATAGTCGAATCTTTGCTATTCTTGAAGCAGAAATATGTTGTGTAGAAGTGGTGGGTGGGTGAGTTCTCGTAGAGACCGATAGTAGCCCCGTTTACTAACTCGATCAATAATAAGTTCGCCTTTGAATTCTGCAAATGCATACATGACTCTCGTACTTTTTCGCCACCCTATATAGTTTTTTGATTCCATCAGCTAAGCGAGAATTCTGAATTGCTCCCTTTTTTTGAACCTAGGATGATAACGGGGCGTCGAAGCGCGCAGCCCTTGAACAGTCCCCCCAATTTCTTGCCAATCAAATGCACAAGCTGTATATTGCATGACTTATACTCCAGGATTCCGTACTTATTACCAGAAGTGTGTAGAATTTTGGTCGAGTAAGGACAGTCAAAGCCTACATGCATTCAAAATTGCGTGCAAAGCGGCTATGGAGCTTCTTGCTTTACAAGATGATTGATCCAAAACGATCTGCCATTGATTTCAAAAGGAAGTTGATAAATGAATGAAGCGGATGAATAGGCGTGTGCCTCTGCTGGGGTGGAGGACATTAGGTCGCCGAAAAAGGGCGGTCCCCGCGGTCATTTGCGACAAATACGCACCCTTGTACATGCGCGGACATGCGTTCCTGCAAGGAATCCGCGCGGGACTCTTCCAATTCCGGCGACCTAGTGTCCTCCACGCCCTCTGCTGCAAACTTTCAAATTCCAGCAGTAAGAGAGCTAAAATAGTGTGAAAAACATCTCTCTTTGTTTGCTTCACAGTCTTGAAAGGATAATGAATTGTTTTAGATTTCAGTGTCATGTTTTTCGGTCGTACGCTCTCCAATTTGTTCTGGTGCACTAAAGAAAGACCTTTTCAGGACACTTCTATCACTAACATCTTTTTTGAGAGACGTAAACGATTTTCCCAAAATCTCGTGCGCAGTAAAATGACTTTTTGTAACTTTTGTGCTTGTGAAAGAAAGTAGACTAAATATGTGGTGGTATACGCTATGACAATGAATCAATAACGGGTGAGATCGCAATCTTTGACTTGAGTCTTAACAAAATGCTGCGTTTCCAAATCTTTGCTTTCATGTAGCGAAGAGAAAACTTGAAAAGAAGAGACCCAATTTCTTTTAGACGAGAGTGCTTTTTCAGCACCCTCTGATTGTGATCAAATTCAACCAGTACAAAGAAAATTACTTTTCATAACACAGAAAGGCAAACCTTCTATCGAAACCTGACACATTTTTTGAGTTTTATACAACAGTAAGCACTGAGCGCAATCATTTCTTTAGTCCAGTGTGTTGCCAACAAACACATATAGAACTTTTAGACATGTTTGCATGTCAATGAATTATTTAGTGGCCCAGCATTGTGATTGCCAGACTATAACGTAAATGCTCAAAGTGAATGATGTATTTATCTATATATGCCACAAAATCTCATATCTGCGAATGGTGTCGTACTTCCCGATCTGTCCCTGGCAGATGACACTTCTTCTGTCAATCTAACGACTTTACATATTTATTGTCAACAACATCGTAACAATAGCATGCTTCAGTCAAATCACATGTGCACCTTTCATTATTGCCATTCCTCTCAAAATAGTTGCTTTCAATCGATGTCTTGATGATATCAACGGAAATACAAAACTATACAATGTGACTATCGCCGCACTGAAGAGTGCGGAAGTCGAGTGTAATACGTGAAAGAGCTGGACGGAAATCAGTGCAGAGCCCGTCAAAAGAGATCTATCCGGTACGCGTTAGAGTATCTCAGATAGCTTCCTGTATCTTGTTACCAAATGGTAACATGCACTGCACAGGCGAGAAGAAGCAATTTCTGTCGAATGTTGGAGCACGACTAGCGACGAGATTTGGCGAGCGAGAGTTTGCTAGCCTGGAAACATCTTGCATTCTTTACATTTGTAAACCATTAAGACCATCTTATATCTTGCTAAAAGCCTTAATGTCGGTACTAAATGTCAGGTTAGGGATCTTTTTCGAGAAAACGCGAAGAGATATCGTAAATATTAGGAAAGACTTAAAATTCAAAAAAACCCCTCAAACATCTCTAAGCATGCCCAGAACCAATCCTTAGTAATTTTGCACCGTTACTCCTTTACCTTTGTGGGCCATTCTCTCCGACTAAATATATTTTGCGCCTATCAAGAAGATTCAGAAAAGGAATTGAGAGTTTAGAGTGTTGAGAGGAATGTCTCTTGAAGACGGTACTGCCCTTTTTGCATGTAATTAGCCCTGACTTTCATGAAGACTTTGGCGCAGACGAGGAAACGTCATTACTTTCAGCACTATATTTCTCTTTTAGCATAAAAATTTCGTAAACAACTTAGCATCCGCTTTGAATGTGTGTTCTCGAATGGCGTGCTTTTTAGCGAAACATTTCAACAACCAAAAAAGAGGTCATAAGGAATGTTGATGGATTATGCTTATGCCCTTCCACAACTTTGCAAAATGGATGCAATTATTCAAAGGTTAAACGGATAGTGCTGTGTCTTCAAGAAGAAGACCTACCGTAGAACCTTATAGTAGTAGTTTACGTCACCGACGGCAACACGAGAGTACAGCGGTGACGCAACGAAGAACAGCGCTAATAACTGGAACAGCGACATTACCTGCAAAGGAGCAATATAGCTGCAGTCACCTTAAATTATTTCACAAAGAAGTTAGAACTCGCAGAACGACCATACAAAACAGTGCCATAGTTGCGTAAATACGCGATGTTCAAAATAAATAATCATGCAAAACCTTTTGCACTACGCATTTAGGAGACACATCACTTAACTGGATGAAATGATGTAGCGTATTGCCAAAGACTAGAAAACGGCCAGATTTTACTTGAAAGCTTGTGTGAAGACCATGTATTAGACTATTATTTTGAGTGTGCCCATTTGCCGCATAATTTTACTTCAGGGAACGGATCAAATAATCGAGTCGTCTGCAGAACAAATAAGGTTGAAATTATAAGAGAAGTCTTATGCGGAACTCTGTTCGCGTATTAATGTGAATGTAGAAGCGAAGAGGAGGCAAAAATATGATAACACCAGATAGGAGAATAAAAGGGAAAAGAGGAACAGAAAATGCAGTCTTAACTCTTTGGTCAACGCAGATATGGAAATCTTATGCACTTGCCTGCCGCGCCTTTCTTTTACCTATCTATGACAAAAAAGTGACACTTTCTCATTATCAGCATGCTTCTGTTGAAAATACTAACGCTTAAGTAGGAGACGAGTAGGATAGCGGTATGAGGCAGCGTTATGAGCTATAGGAACATCTACGATTCACCTCCCGCGAACAAGACTCACAAGGAAAGGATACTTGGTGACCGTGGCCCTTGGAAATGAAACGTACACCATTAAATGCACCTTGAAGCGCTATTCCAAATCTGTTTTCACTATCTGCTGTGCGCTCTTCCGAAAGAAGTTATGAACATTTCTTGTCACTTATACTTGCACTGTTTGTATGATACTGATGTAGGATTCACCAATGTCGTGGCTGTTCGCTTACGCACTAGAAAAGAGCGTCAAAATGAAGTAAAGCTTCACGTTAAGCTCAGGAAAACTGTCACCGATACATCAGAATCTAAAAAACCTGGATACTGAGGACTTTGACTGCCTAAATCTCGCAAAATCAATACGAGAAAAAGTCTATAACTTCGTTAAGGGAGTCGTACAGCAGATAGTGAACATAGATTTAGAATCAGCATCCCAAGACGCACCTACTGGTATACATCTCATTGCAAAAGACCACGGTCACCAAGTATCCTTTCCTCGTCAGGGCTAGAGCCATCTAGAAAATCGAACTGATTTCGTAATCGCGCTTCCTAGCTTTCCAGCCCTCCCCCAGTACCCGACTCATTCTAAAATTTGACATGCACGTGGTAGGAAAGAATATGTTGGATGCGCATAGCCATGAGGGTACTGAAAATGACGGATCTTTGTTTTTTCCCTAATGCCTTTGTAAGCCGGGATTTTATCCAACCAACTCACATCATGCGCAATAAAAAATATTAAATCCGCAGTCTGAAATTTTCTGAAGCGGATTTAGGAGCAACAGACGGGCTTATTTTCTAAGCCGTCGGTCAACAAGGATTTATTTTATGGAGTATTTTGTACATATATCACTTTGTCAAATAAACTCCATACTCGAAGTATCTGAACATTTCAAGTTGTTGACGTTACGGCTCCGAACAGGCAGCAGGTTTGATAGATACAAACGACGGATCAGATTTTAAAAAACTGTTCTAAACTATGTTACGTATGGTGCATGTTGACAGGGGCTCATTCTTGAAAATCAAGACAAACAGTGCTTGACACGCCACACACGGTGTTGCATTTCCGTAGCGCCAACTTTTTTCGATACATCAATAAATCTGTCTAAATGAAGCTGAATATCTGTTTGTTCTGTCAGTCTGTCTGTGGACTGTACGTATGTTCCGATTAGAAAGTTCTAATTCCGAACCGATGACCAAACGTTGCATAACATTTGATTCAACTGGCTTGGCACCATTAGGGCGGGGTTTTGTGATCTAATTGAGGCCGCTCGCGCCCGCAACGCACCTGCGTCTCTCTCGCGCGAGTGCTCTCTGATCATTACCTAGCCTTAATTAGGACACGAAGCCGCGCCGTTGCCGATGCCAAGCCAGTTGAATCAAATGGTACATACATTTCGGGCGGGGAGGGTGTCGTAGGCTCCTTTTTGTTATCGATCGATATGGATGTCATCGAATTTTTGCAAAATTAGAGCTACGGGGCTGGGAGTTGCACGGGGGATAACTGAGCGTGCGGATTACGAATATATTAGTGACAGAGCTGAGCGGAGCCGGGTTCACCAGCTAGTGGTTCATATACATCAGCTGGCCAAGCTTTAGATTATAGATTATAGATTATGTACTAACAAGTAAGTAAGTAGTTGTAAGTTGTGCTGCATTTTTCATTTAGTTTTTTCTTCTACTTTGTGTTTTGACTGATGATGTGTGGCCATGCGTTTGAAAAGTTTTGATTTTCTTCGGCGAGTTTGTTAAATCAAAAAAGTGCAAAAAAATCGGCTCTAAAAGTTATGATTCAAACACGCAAGGAATCAATTTTCATAGACTGTATTAGAGTAGCTTCCTTGTAAATCAGCATGGAAACAGCTGAAAAAATTGTAATTGGATGGAATGATTGCTATAGCTTTCGTAACTGCTCAAAAGTTTTTGAAGATTTGAAAGTCTACTTTGCACCCTGAATATGATTCCCTTTCTGATGTCTCTTCAACGTCAACTTAAGCATCTGAAGAATTCATTGATCTGACACTTTTGGATGATGATAAAACGCTAATATTCGAGACTTAAGAGTTGCGTGCTGCATGTACAGCATAGGTTCGAAACTGTTGATAGAGGTATATCCGTTCAAAAAGTGTCAGCCAGAGCTGTGACCAGCTACTTATTAAAGCTGCACTAGCTTGAGGGACTAACCGATAGATCCTCTTAAATCTAACAGTATCCATGGTTTGTTTTCTATAGTGAACTACTTTCACGAAAGCGAAATCAGAATCTCGAGTTAGCTCCCTATATTTAGTAATGGTGCACGAACAAGCTAGTAAATCCCTTAGCGCGTGGAATGCGCTGACGTTGAGAAAGGCATTTTCATAAATGTGAAAGCTTTTCTCGCAAACTTCGGCAGTGCTTGCGTAACTTCATCGCTGATGTTTATATAGTCCCCCAGACTAAATCAGCTGATAATGGACTACGGTAAAATAAATCTAGTTATATTGCTTCAGAAAAATTCACCTAAAAGGTTTTTGCGCTGCCCCCGGAAAGCCAGACAACGCAAAACTCGTGCGGTCATCAAACTGAATGTGTGGAATGCCCTACACTGGTAAAACCGATGACCACTAAACCTGAAAATGAATGACCACTTAGCTAGCAAAAAATGCCAGAGCATGGTGAGTTTACTAGGTACATATAGAAAAGTAATAACAGTGAAAATTACGACATCGATTATAAGATTTTGGCCTTTGAAATTGAAAACGCTACTTGAAGAAGTTAGACGAAACGTCAGGCATAATATGTGTGAACGATTAAAGCCTGTACGGCACAATAATGATCAAATTCAATTGAAAATTAGTTTCTCCAATACAACTATTGTTTAAGCTTTACATTGGTTTCTTTTTAATTTAGAGGGCTTCCGATTCACAATGGTGTCTATCCCGAAAATAAATCTCGATCGTTGGTGCGTTTCTGAAAATTTCATGCGTTTTAGTGGTATAGAATTGGAAAATCATTTCGGGCAGCTAGGAGTAATTTTGGAGACTGAAAATGCTCGAAGGTTGAAAACGAAAGTTCGGAGAAAACTTCCGTGATAGTATATGAATATTTTATACTCTTCTGAGAGCAGGAAACATGTTCCAACTGAATGAGTAAAATGGCGAACGTCAAAGCTTAGTGATGATAGATGATGCTAGACTTAATTCTATATAAGCTATTTTTAAACGCTGCTTGCAGAAGTATAATTAGCTATTGTACTTTTAAGAACAGATTGGAAAACTTCCTAGTTTTTGGGAGGGTTTGCTGCTTTTGCAGTTAATCTGCTTTGATGTTAATACCTGACGTAAACAAGGTATTATAATGAAATACGATTCAAAGCACGTCATGCAGATATTCTTCCAAGCTCTCAGACTTTTGAGTGGGTTCAAATATTGACTTGAAAGCGAGAGATTCTCAGTAATGAACCGATCTAAAGCATGTGGAAAACAGAAGTGATAACATCATCCCACGACAGGCTTTGAAAATAAATTCATCATGAAATGGCAGCGTATACAGATATAAATCCAAAGAAGGATTTTGATTCGATTTATCTCAAGCAGACGCACGCACAGTCTTAGTGGCTAATTCCACAAACTCTTGGAAAACGAAAGTACTGTGAGCTAAAATCCCACTCATTTTGTCTTTCGTCCTTTCATTTACTGCAAATTGGTTCTATGTAGCCATTATTTGTCTACGCAATGCATTAATGAAATTTCAAGTAACACATGCGTACATAAATGATAAATGACCAGCATCAAAAGAAGCAATGTTGAGGACAAGAAACTATGACGTCTACTAAGACTGTCATTACAGTTTTTGCTAAGCTGTGATTGGCTGTTACTAATTCTAAACTCACATAAAGAGCTCACAACACTTTGCGCAGCAAACTTACTCGAACATTTGACTGTAAAAGACGAAATTTTCAAAGAAGTATATTTTAAGGTAATGTGAATTGAAAAATATGGAAAAGGAGCCCTGCCTCTAGTTACGATTTCAATCTAGGCGTATTTATAGAACACTAAACTGATCTCTTCTACGCTCTCATAATACAAGAGTAAAAATCTGAGAATCTAAGGGAAATGCGCATAAAGTGAACGCGTAAGTTGGATTTTGATATCATGCACTGTACTTTAAGAATAACATTGGTCTATGAAATATCACGCGTATTTCATAATTATTTTACGGTATATACACAGCGTTCCAAAAGTATGTATACGTTCTGAACTTTGATAACTCTCCTGCTGGATTGTCTTCCGTTGACCTCTAGGAACCAATTGTATAGCTGGAACCTAGCGCTTTAGTTGAAACCTGGCCATCTGAAGTGCATGCAGATGCGGCATACAATGCTCACACTAATTATTCGACAGAAAATCTAAGAACTGACGGTCCTTTTTTTCCTCCATAACTTCCTTCAGAATGCATGAGTTATGAACAGAGTAGAGCAAGAGGTGTGGGACCTGATGGGCGGATACGACCCCCCTTCCCCTTAAGTTGACTCTGAATACGACCCTTCCCCCTCCCTTCGAGAGACGGTGGCAAGCCCTTATCCTATTTTCCCTTCCCCTTCCTCAACTAGGGATATATGACGAAGAATAATTTCGGGGAACATGTGCGCGTGCACAACTATGATCCAATGCAAACTACGGAAAGACAGAAAAGAGAGAAAATGTGCACTTAACAAATGGAAAGGAATTAAAACAAAAAAACCACCTTGGAAGATCCAAGTCGACCCACTTGTTTGTTTCCGGAGGATCAGATGAATGTAGTAATACCAGACTTGCATTTTCAAAAGATTCACATGCCACGCAGAACCGAAAACTTGAAATTCCTCAAAATAGATGAACGAACCAAAGGCGATAAGCATCACTCCATTTTCTGAAGGAAATCTTAAGAACTCAGACTATAGGGTTGTCTCATTATCCCTGAATGGTTTCAATGTCAAGTCGAAAGGTCTATTGTAAAAAAAACGAGGGAAACAAGTATAAAGTCAATGATTTTCGAAACAGTGCAAAACAACGTTCAAATTATTCATCTTGCCGCCTTTTCCGCCATTTACGCAATAGCGCAGACTGATGCTACCGTAACCCAATATTTTTCGGCATTCACAGGCATTCACACGTAGGTGATAGGAGTTGAAAAAGCGCTATATCCGCTTCTGTGCACGGGGTTGAGCGGTAGCAATGATATAAAAACCGTAGCCATTTAACGGCTTTGAATGTAAGTCAATGGGGTGTGGCACACCCCCTGAAAAGCTGTGGCCGCCACAGCTTTTTAGGGGTTGTGCCACACCCCATTAACTTTATCATAAGAGGAATTTTAGCGCACACTTCACATATGAATAAGTACTCTAAATATCGTAGTTTTCACACGAATGTTTTGAGCGTGATCCGCTTGCACTCGTCTAAGTAAGGGTTGTTGAAAGCGTGACCATTAAATCCGAAAGAGGTGGCCATCAAGATTTTTGCTAGGCTCCTACTGCTCGGTGTTCTTTTGAAGTGTGATTCCTAGCATGAACTAAGCAGGAATAGCGCTTAGCACTGTGCAAAAATAGGTAGGTAACTTTCATCTCTGAAATAAAGTCAATTGTGTTTGAAAATAACCACTTTACGCAGTAGACCCAATATTTGAAACCTCCAGAATCTGCTAAAAGTTGGTCAACAGAGGTTATTTGACACTCTAAATACAAATCTCGTACTCATTACGTCTGGTAGGATTTTTTTAATGTGCCTGCTGTAGGTAAATGGCGATAAGTCAGTAACACTGATTCTGCATAATGAGGTTTTCAGGCGTGCTGTCTACTATCATGTCCATTATATTTTAAGGTATCGGTATCCATTTAACCAACTCATCTGTGTTACTAGTGGCCCCTTGTTTAAGATTCTTCTTTACGTTTTCTCGACGTTTGCTTCTCTGCCTCCAATTACGACCTCCTCCGCCCCCTCCCTGATCCCTCATTACGACCCCCCAGGTGTGGCCTGCCACACCCCACGCTTGATCCTGGTTATAAATCCGAAAACAGCTCAATGCTCAGCTCGTTAGAACAAATCCCTGATTTACTACATTATCTTGCTATTCCATTTTCAACTGCTTGGTTTTTTTGTGGGGACGGACCAGTGGCATAGCGAAACACATATGAAGAACTTAGACGCTAATTTGCAAAGCAGAGTTTTTCGTAATCAGCTGAGTTGCACTTAATCTTTGCCTACTTTTGGTAAATATTAGGCTGAAAACTGAGTTTTGCAACTTCTTTCATAACATTACTCTCTTTAGATGAGGCGCACTCAAACTTTGGCAATGTGTAGAGCGCAATATATTCTACAAATGCGCACAAACTGTTTATATTTTAGACACGTATCAAAGAAATTCCACCATTCTCCGAAAAGAAGAATGCATGGGGTATAAGCCAGAATGAAGCCAAGCAGCCTAGACCATGCGTGATAATCTGGAATCATGTAAGAATTGTTGCTAGAGGTTGACTCATTCGGCTCAGTAAAAATGATATGAAAGTTGGGCGCATGTCAAGATTTAGCGTCCCCTACAAAGTTGAACGAGTGTGCTGTACGCAAGGATGCTTGGGACAACCGCCAGTGATCAAGGAGTCGGAACATCGAAATTAGCCGAGACTTAGCATAGTAGGGTTATTTGAACTGCCAATACGAGTATCAGAATCTTTTCTTGCCTCGTTCCTTGCTCAGGGAAAGACCCTGTATCGTAGACTTACAGTAATCTTACAAAAAAGCTCTTAAGGAAAACAATTAGATGAGCTGCAAAACTTAGCTTCCAACCTAATACTTTGGAGAATGGTGGACGTTCGAGTGATCTTGTCAGCACAGAGACGAGTCAGCAAGGAAGTACTGGTTCACGTGCAGTTTAACTGCACCCTGTATTTATGCTGGCATTTCGACTAACATTTCTCTTGCTATGCTCAGGTGACTCGACAGATCCTCGACCTTGCTTACTGCGTAACCTGATGCGCTGGATCTTACGCGCGTAGTTTCACGCGTAAACTACATATTAGAACTACTGGGTTGGTATATGTCCAGATCACGGATGGAAGTACACATAATCTGAACCTGGAACTTCCGACATTGGCCCACAGAAGCGTTGATTTGATCATGACGCATAAAACCATGTTGGGGAATGTAGACTGAATGTTTAATGATTGTTTTCCTTTCAGCATGTCTAATACACGGGTGGACGTATGAAACTAGTGATACCAAGAGCAAAGTCCAAAGTCAGAGCAAACTTTTTTAGTTGCCGCGTTTTACCTGACCGCGATTATACGGTAAAGAACGGAATGTTAACCTATCCACCTTCAAGACAAACTTAAGACCTACTTACAATCAAGAAACAGCGTTCGATCTTGTATACCTCAGGTTGGTTTTTTTGGCTCATGCACGTTGTTCTGTTGTTTTGTGTTAGTTTTTTTTTCGTTGACCGATTTTGCACAGAGGGTCATCCCAAGTGACAATAAAATAAAATAAAATAATTTCAAAAATGTAAAGAATGGGGAGTGGTCCAAATTCTGTTGGAAGGAAGGATAAGATAGTTAACTTCGATGGTTTTTTTCTGCCGTATACAGGTTGTTATCTATAAGGAAGATTAAAAGTTATGTACATTGAGTCTATTTTTCACAGATCTCGCATAAGTCTAGCAGCTGCTTTGTCTGATTCTGCTGAACAATTGAAAAATCACAGCAACATAAATAGTAATGTAAGTGAAGAAATAAACACTGCTTGCATCTCGCGCCGACAAGAATGCGGTCGAGCTCTCATTAACGTGTAGTCTGATTTTTTGCGGATTAGCTAAATGTAGTTTATCCCGTCAGATTCAAGTATGACGCACGCTTTAATCAAAGGGGAATGCCATCTTTATCAGTGCCGTAGTTTTTCGAACAATAAAAAAAGCGGGAATTTCGACAACCCTTTGTGAAATTATCAGCGCATAAACTTCTTCTCAAGTTGATAATCTACATTTGATTTGAACTATCTAGAAATAGCTTGTGCGATTTACAAAAGAGTCTATCAAAAAAGGCCTGTAGTGTATATTGCAACCGAAATAGTGGCTTCTTCCTATTACTGCTTTCTAATTTCTCACGAAATCAAAATAGAATGATTGAATGTTTTGCTTTTCTTGGTAACTCTCGAGGCTCACTCAAAATGAATGAATTAAACTGGCTTCCTTTACTGAAAGCACTCTCCATGCTGGAAGTCTTGACAGTAACTAATCACGGCCATATGCAAATAGAACCGTAAAATTTTTTCCTTTACTAACCTGCCACCGCTTCGATAGCTCGAGCAACACTGCAAATTTCAATGACATAACGTAAAATTACTGCGGATATGACGTCTACAACTTAAAATGTAAATGCGTGGACTTTTCGTTTTTCAGGGGCAAAAAGTAAATAGTGGATGCTAACCAAAACTCTACCCATAAAGCAAAGGTTAGAAAGTAAAAACTCTTGCCGTTTTTTTACGGTAAAAGTCAATTACATATGTTTTTCGTGCTAATTTCAGTCTCATAAATTCTCAAGTTCATTCCGAAACCTCACATAACAAGGACAATATTCTTGCCTTAAAATATCGCTTACTTTACAGAAAAGTCACTGATCCACCAGAGTTTTCTGAAATGCGCATCGCATCACCATACTTTGATTCAAAGCGGACGAGTTTTAAAAAGAGCACTGTTATCAGCTCAGCGAGCACATCATATGATATATAGAGTTGCCCGTTTAGATACGATAGGTGCTCAGATATCACATTTGTGTCTACTGTAGGTCAGTGCAGATTAAGCAGCTGGATGACCTACCAAAATCTGAAAAGATTCGTGAAAAGTGTCCGCCTACAGTGCCCGTATGCAGACGGGTAGTTTATATCAGAAGAGCCTCAGCGAGCTGAATCTGATGCTCTTGTATTCAAGTTCCACATAGTCTTAAGCTATGGACGCGGATTTCGTGAACTCCGATGGAGTCCGGCGAAGTTCTTGAGAATCAAGCGCGATATTGTAAACTCCACTTCAAGCGGTCATGAAGTATTTTTCTGCTGCTTCAATCACAAGAAGTTGAAAACACATCATACTGTTTCAGTCAAGCACACTGCATTGAAAAGCATGGAAGTGCTTAAGAAGAGAAAAGAAAATGAAGAAAGAAGTGTTGTTAAATATGTTGCATACATTTTTATGTTGTATCTATATTACAGATACCTGCTAACCTACCAATGTCGATCATACATGAAACAAGAGGCAAAATAAGCTGAAAATATACAAGCGATGATGGAAACAATGGCTGAAATTGCGGCAATGCGCTGAGTAGCCAGAACATTTTCTATCTCCACCACTTTTAAGATTCCTTAAAATTGCTTGTCCTTGAGACGATATAGTATAATAATGTTTTTGTAATTTGGCGCGAAGCTACCAAGCGTAAAAGTACACGAACATCAAAAGTGCATGGTCTGGCCGCGGACAGCTGCATGGGGTCAAATTTATGATCGACTCAAAAACTGTACAAACGGCATTCGATTCTCATGCACATATTATTGAGAATGAGCTAAGTCCACAACATAAGCTCATGAATCCATATAAGAGAAATCAAACCCCAAGGTTGCTCCTAGCACCTTATCCAGGAAGATGATTGGTCCACTCGGAAAGAGTACAATGTTGAGGGGCATTTTATACTTGAATTGTTCAGGAGTTGTAAGATCGCCCGATAAAGGCCTCTCAACAGTTCTTCAAAGCAATACTTAGGTAACGATTTGCCTGGGCACTGCCTTTGTGGAAGCAGAGAGGAGAATTCAACACAGAATT